AGGGGAGAGTGGCGAGGTTGGTGGGACGATGACCCTGTCTCTTATACACATCTAGATGTGTATAAGAGACAGCACACACACACACACACACACACACACACAGAGGCTGGAGAGCGCGATGGAGTTGCCTGCTCTCCTAGTGATCAGCAACAGCGAGACATTTCATCATGCAATTGACATTGTTGTTGACAACAACACCAGAGCTCCCATCTATCACCGCCTTTTTTTTTTGCTTTTTTTTTTTCTTTTTTTCGGGTTAGTGGCAGAACTCCCACCCCTCTAAATGCACTCAGAAGATAATACGGAATCTAAATGCACTCAGAAGATAATACGGAATTGCGGCGCTTCGTCGCCGCCAGAGGGCAAAATCTCCCATCTGCATGGCTCCAGTTCATCCGACACAGGGCAGTAGCCCGCCAATGTCACGCGGGCAGCATTTGTTGATGAGGATGCAGAACCGAATTCAAAAACGCTTGTCATTGCATTGGCCGCGATGGTGGACTCTGAACCACCAGAGCTCTTCTCCATAGCGCCACCGGAGCCAGCGCCACGTGCTTTTCCCTCCGCTGCAGAGCCGCCGCCGCCTCCGCCGCCATCGCTAGCTGTCCCCGCTGGCTTCGATCTCTTCCCCTCACTCCTCTTCGCTGGTGCCTTCCACTTATCAAACAAACCCATCTCTCTCTCTCTCTCTCTCTCTCTCTCTCTCTCTGTGTGTGTGTGTGTGTGTGTGTGTGTGTGTATGTGTGTGTGTTTGTGTGTGTGCGCACCACACACAAGGAAAACCTGTCTCTCTCCCTCTGTGTGTGTGTGTGCACCACACACAAGGAAAATCTCTCTCTCTCTCTCTCTCTCTCTCTCTCTCTCTCTCTCTCTCTCTCTCTCTCTCTCTCTCTTCGTGCGGCTCTGGACCAAAAATCACGCGCGCGCGCGCGCACACACATACACACACACACAAGAGAGAAAGAGGAAAACGCGCAAAGTTTAAGAGGAGCGGGGCGAGTCTAGGGACTGCCCATCTCGATTTCACAGAAACTGTAGATATGCTGAAGGTTGCGTCGAGTGTAATTATTAGCGTCCAATAGCATCGGGAGCACTTGGGACTTCAACAATTTTCTATCATATCCAATCATACCCGTCCCCTCGTGGTATTAATTAAAGGCCTCGCCTGGATCCCGACCAGACAGACCGACAGCGAGCCACCGTGCAGCGCCGGTGCGCTCCGCTCTCTGCGATACACTGCGCGCCAACGGCGATATCGGGCCTCTCTCGCTCCACTACTCTCGACATGTGGAACACGAGAGTGAATCTTCCGCTAGAACATGGAAAGATACACCGCCATTATTTTTTGTCTTTTGTGCATGTCCAGGGGCAGGTCACACTAGCAGCGTTGAGTTTCATCAACGCCAGAATCTGTCTGGACGTGTCTGTGGACATGTGCAGAAATCGCGTTGAGTTTTCTCAACCGCACATCTCCGCGAACGAGTCCAGATTCAGGCGTTGAGGAAACTCAACGCTGCTAGTGGGACCTGGCCCCAGAGTGGTGCAGCGAGGCCCATCGAGACCATCAATCAAGGGGCATCTCTGCACTACACAGCACTGGACATGCATTGGGCCGCGTTCGGAACCAGCTTCTTTGGGATGAGTCCAACATTTTGAATGCCCAGGGTCCAGAAAGAGTCTAAATGCATGTAGAGTACTGTGTAGTGTAGCGAGGCCCAAGGACAGGAGAACCAAAGGAAAACCAAACCAAGGGCCTCACTGCACTTCCCAGAACTCTTCCAAATAAAGCAGAAAAATATGAAGCCTAAGATGATGCCAGATCTCATAGGAGTAAGTCAGAAAGGTGGGCCGCAGGCCCGCACACCTCCTAAATCGAGGGCGGGCGGGACCGCTTCGCCAAAAAGGTGAGGAGAATCGACTCACACTCCGTAGGACCTGACCCCTTGTGTTCCTGCGCAGGTTCGCATATGCGATGAGTGCTGCAAGCGGGCGCAGTCTGGAGGGCGCAGCACGGGAGTCAACGCAAGCTGTGATGACAGGCCAGACTCCTGTCTCTTATACTTTAACCGGCCAAGGCAGTAGTACCAATTGACTTACCGTGAGGGCACGGGTGCGCAGCCCGTAGGTCGTTTGTTTATGTGGTTCGGGAAGGGTAAGGTAGTGAATCCGTTGTATGTATGTTTTGTCATGTTCGCTATACACAACTCGAAGAGAGTGTGTGTGGGGGGTCCCGGTTGATGCCTTATTCACGATGTTCACGGGACGCTGGACCCAGTTTCCAGCAGGTGGCGCTCCCCATCAATAGACAAGAGAATGT